AAAAAATTGATCAGAGAGAGAGAGAGGGAAAGCAAGAAAGCAAGCCTCCAGGTCTGGGACTCAAACCATGGTCAGCCATATAGGAGTCCAGTGCCTTTAAACCACCATGCTACTTGCTGGCCCCCTCAGTTAATAAATATTCATTGGGGCCGGGGAGTGGTATTGTGGTAAAGTGTGACACTGTGTGAGGCTGGCCCACTTGGGAGGGTTCCAGGTTCACATTTAGAGACCCCCCCCCTGTATGCCAAGGATGCAAGTGCCCATGGTCTGTAGCTGGCTCAATCTGGGGGTGGATTGTGGCAGGACCCTGTTGACGTGCCCGTGTCTCTCTCTCTCTCTCTGTTGTTCATGGAAGAAATAGATTTATTTTTAAAAGCCCAACTATTAGCTAATCAATGCTTGTTTATTTTATTTTTAAAATTTTGCTGGAGGGTGTGTGCACTCACCAGAGAGAGACAGAGAAAGGGAGAGGGAAAGTGAAAAAGCACCCCCCCATGGGCACTGGTCACACTGCAATCCCTTCTCCTTCATTTCTCTCTCCTTTTGGGATTCTGGGCATGTGTGCACACTTGCTTGGTGTGTACTCAAGCCATTGGGTCCGGGTCCAGGACTTGAAGTGTGCAGGCAGCCATGTAGGATCCAGCTGCTTTAGGGGACTTGCATTCATGGTGGGGGGTAGAAAGAAAGAGAGAGAGAGACAGACATTGAGAGGGGAAGTGAGAAATCACCCCCCTGGGATGCTGGCCACACCACAGTACCTTCTCCTCCATTCTTCTCCTGGGATCTTGGGCATGCAGACACACGTGCCCAGTGTGATTTTTAAGCCTCCAGGTTTGGGACTCAAACCGTGGTCAGCCATGTGGGAGTTCAGCGATGTACCTGCTGTGCCATCTGCTAGCCTTATCGCAGTCCTTGTTTCGTATGCCTCTACTGTAAGCTTGCCTAGTTGTAATCAAGGTAATCATATTTTTAAATGATGAAAGAAATAGTTATAAATGATTATTTTCTAGATGAATAAAAACCTGAGATTATACAAAATATTTGGTAGAGAAAAACATAATAAATGTTAAGTATATAGACTTTGGTGAGTATTGTGTTGTATTATGTCATTTATAATTCTGTTTTCTCTTTATAACTTTTTTAAAGAATGGTTTAACTTTATTTAAATTTTATCAGAGAGGGACAGAGTGAAAGGGAGAGAGAGAGAAAGTGAGAAAGCAAGCTGCCAGGTCCAGGACTCAAACCATAGTTGGCCATGTGGAAATCCAGTGCCCTTAACCGCCATACTACCTGCTGGTCCCATCTCTTTATAATTTTTAGTATATTAGGCTTCTTCTTTTTTTTTTTTTTCCATGAATGAGAGAGACAGAGAAAGAAAGAGAAAGGTAGGGGCAGGCACCTTTAACAGGACCGTCATGGTGTGATCCACCCCCAGCCACTGCCAGCCCTGGGTCATGGGCATACACGTGCCTGGCATATTCGGGGACATCTGCGCACATGAACTTTCCTATGTAGGTCAGTCTCACAGAGCCCTGAGCTACTGCTGC